GTATGGCATCTTATACTATAAATGCTGTTGTAATGCCCAGGCTCCCTCTCTTTTCCGGTTGCTGGATTCCCCTTTCAAGCAGAGGACTATGATCTGTGAGTCTATCCCTAAATAAATAACCCTTTATTATATTCAATTATGAGCTAGTGTGGGAATTCTTTTTAGTGTCCCTCCTCATCTGGTGCACAACTCCATACCTACTGGGTAAGCCAATCCAAAAAGTCCAAATGGTCCATGGCCTAGAAGGTCTCCCACCCCGTCCTCCTTGCTTGCTTTCACATATTCCCCTTCCACAGCAGAGCTAAGTGCGCAGTGACTTGGAAATTTTCCAAGCTCATGCACATGCGCCCCCTCCACTGCCACATTCCCCACTACGCCATGACTTGTGCAGCTTCCAGTTTGTGTTCTCTGGTCCCGAGTACTAGGATCCTTGCTCCATATAAGGAGTTGATTTGACCAGCACCAAGGCAGAGGCAAAACTGGCAGGACTCTTCCAGCAACCATAAGTTGTGCTGATGGTTGCAACTCTGCAACTGCAACACCTGCTGGATGATACAGATTATTACACCTAAAACAATTTACTGGATCTCATAACACAGATAATTATTTGATTAATTAATACATCAAAAAACTTGTAAGTTATATAATGGTGGTCAACATTAGCATGTAAAATTTTAATAACCTTTTTGCTGAGACTATGAATTGTATTCTGCAAGGCTTATATGGTTATTGTGATACATCCATTTATTGGATATTGGGACTCAGGTTTTTCTTCATATTGTATCCTTAAGAAAATGGTTTGATAACAGAGCCATGAATGAGGCACTTTTAGAAATGATACAGTCTGTACAGACTAATAATAAATAGCTAGCTGACGGCATTAATGCCATTGAAAGTAAAAAGTTACCTGAAAAAATTAATACTCTTGAAAAGGATAACATTAATTTGACAAGCAAAATCCACTCCATGTCAAAGGGTACTGAGAAATTATCTGAAAAACTTCATATTGTTGAATCTGACAATCAAAATCTGTCAAAAACTTATGATAGGTGAGCAGATAGAGTATCTCTCCAGAATGACAATTATATGATATCCAAATAATGTCATATATATAATATATATATTATATATTATCCTTAAAGGCAAATCTTTAGACCTTGGAATCACATGTGCAGAATGAGGACCAGAGGCTATATGCCTCAATGAAATCACTAGAAATATATGCAAGTCAGGAGATTCAGATTTACAAAAGACAGCAGTAAAAAGATTTGAAATGACTGAGGAAATTATTGAAGCTGATGAGCAGGTAAGGAAGTAAAAGGACAAGATTTAACATCTCCTGTACCTGTCAGAGATGACTTACCCAGGGTTTTGGCTTCAAACACTGTAATTTACTCTGACAATGCATCAAGTTCTCAATGCCCAAAAGGATCCAAAGAAGGTAGAGGGATACCTATAAAAAAAGAATTATCTAAAAGAAATTAAAAAGCAGAAGTATCTTATGGCTTGCATTCAGATTTTTTTTATAAATAAATTAAAACTTCTCTAGCTGAGTTGGATGGGAAGGTTTCTTTAGTCTGTTGTTTGTGCTCTATCTACAGTGAATAGCTATCTGCTTATATATGCCTGCTCATATCATGTAGCACAGGTACATGGCTCCACAGCCAGCTAGGGATTCTGCGATCTCTGTATAGTTTCTAGCCTTGTAACTCTGTGTCACTTCATGATAGAGGGTTTGTTCTTGGCATCATTTGCAGTGCAGGGATTGAATCGGGTCCTTCAACATGCAAGAAAAACACTATAACAATGACCCACATTTTCCTGTACTTTAAAAAAATGAAATAAATACCAATCGAGGTATGATAGTGCGTGCATTTAATCCCATCATTTGGGAGGCAGATACTGGAAGATCTTTTTGAGTCTGAGGCCAAGACTACAAACCAGAGTTCCAGGAAAGCCGGGCAGTTACACAGAAAGTCCCTGACTCAAAAAACAACTACAACAATACAAACACACAAAACAATTCCACAGGAAAAAAAAATTTCAAAGTGTCCATAATATGATTTTGTAGTCACATATGAGACATCCAGTTAAAAGGAAATATAATGAATTAACAATTAAATTGCACACAAAGTAGAAATTTATGATGAATAATGAATATTTTGGCACAAGTATATACTATTTAATAATTAAACATCTATATATTCTTTTCTGAATTTGAATTTTATATCTTGCTTGTATTTATTAATTCAAATAATTTAGTTTATGACAGATAATATTATTTTATTAGACTACCCTCTTTATAAAGGTTACACAGTAGTAAAGTATAAGTTATACATAAAAGATATCAAAATTTATCAATATAATTCATCTTTTTTTTGCAATACTGTTTGGCCAATATCTTTTTTTAATTTTTTTTTATTGAGAATAAGAAAAAAAAAGTTTCTGCGTCCTCCCAGCCTCCCATTTGCCTC